GGATACAGAGACGACATCGCTCGAGATTCTCTAGCACAGCTTGTAGCATTTGCGGTGTGACTGTTGTTTGAGCTGCATGGATGCGTGCTACAGTCTCCATCTGGTCTTGGGGCTCATCGAAATAGACCATCTCTTTGAAATTCCCCCACAAAAAGTAGTCGAGTGGCGTCAAATCAGGTGATCTCGGGGGCCACCTTCTTGGTCCGTTTCCTCCCAACCAATGCTGAGGGTAAGTGCCGTTGAGAAAGTCTCGCACTCTACCAGCATAGTGACTTGGCGCTCCGTCATGCTGGAACCAAGTTGGCTGTTCGTTAACTTCATTAAGGAGTTGAGGAGGTTCATCATGAAGGAATGTTAGGTATTGGGTGCCCTGTAATAAGGAAAATTTATGGTTTGCTGTAGGAAACTAGGAAAAGGGTACATGAAAGGGATGAAATTAGTTAAAGAAGATTTAAGGCCGACGAGGACGACGTAATTTATTATGGAAGAGTTAATTATTTCATTTATACAAAAAATAACTAGCGTAAAAATAGCTCGATTTTATGAATGATAAAACTCTTAATCAATTTACAGAGAGACTCAATTTTAATCCTGAATACGTACAATTTATTGCTTGTATATTCAAATCTCAACTTACGTCCATTGTCTCGGGTAATTCGTACAGAATTACGTGGTCGCCGATGATTCCACCCCAGACATTAATCTTTCATTTATTTTGGAAGTTCCGGTTCACCGTCATGTGCGGATTCTCTTCTGCATACCAATGAGTATTGTGCTGATCGAAGCACCCCTCTCTGGTGAAAAGTGACTCATCAGTCCACGAGATTCTGCTCAAAAAATCCGGATCCGCGTCGTTGGAGTGAAGAATGAACTGGCAGAAGTCCACGCGCAATTGATAATCTCCAGCTTCTAATTTTTGCACTTTTCTTTTGCGGTACCGATGAATCTTCTCGGTGCGAGTAATACGATTGATGGTCGAACGTGAGATGTGAATACGACGTTCCAACCGTCTCGTGCTCGTACCGGGATCCGCGCGGACAGCAGCGAGAACGCGTTCTTCGTTGACAACGTTACGGACAACACGAGGTCTACCAACTCGCTCGACGTTGTTTGGCATTAAATTGCCGGTTTCACGACAGCGCTGAACAGCACGAATGATTGTATTCTTATCCGGATAACGATCGCGATTCAGGAACCTCTCGCGATATACACGTGCAGTCGCCACAGCATTACGATTGCACTCACCATAAAGAATTATCATCTCAGTGTAATCGGCAGAAGTATACGGCATGATAATGATGTTTGTTGACAAAGAATTCAATAACGACTGACGACGGAAAACAGTAAGCTGGGAGAAGCTCAAAAAAACAAATGAAATCGAAAAAAAATGAGTCGCTACAACGCGAAAACAAAAGATGAAAAATAAGAAAAGTTTTTTGAAGGGAAAAAATAAGCAAACAGTGCTCTGTTAATGCGTCCAAGTTTATCAGTTCTTCATTTCAATAATAATAATAATAATAATAATTACAATTTTATGAATTAACAAAAATAAATCGTTTCCCTTGAGTCAACCTGTGACTTATTTTGATAATAATAGTTCTTATTTTATTAATTAACTGAAATAAATGAACCTTCGACACTCTCTCGTTTCCTCTTAGTTGACCTAGGAATTATTTTAGAAATAATAATTATTATTTTATCAATTAACCGAAATAAATGTGCTATCGATACTCTCTCGCTTCTCTTGAGTCAACCTCTGACTTATTTTGATAATAATATTTATTATTTTATCCATTAGCTGGAAATAATCAGCTGTTAACCATCTTTTGATCCGTTCGAGTAGATAATTTATTAATTTAACTAATAATAATTGATATTTTATTAATTAACCGAAATAAATGGGCTATTAATACTCTCTTGCTTTACTTGAGTAAACCTGTGACTTATTTTGATGATAATAATTATTATTTTATCCATTAGCTGGAATTAAGCAGCTGTTAAACATCATTTGACCCGTCCGAGATGGTGATTAATTAATTTAACCAATAATAATCATTATTTTATCAATTTACCGAAATAAATGAACCTTCGACACTCTCTCGTTTCCTCTTAGTTGACCTATGAATTAATTTAGAAATAATTATTATTATTTTATCAATTAACCGAAATAAATGGGCTATCGATTCTCTCTCTTTTCTCTTGAGTTAACCTGTGACTTATTTTGATAATAATAACTATCATTTTATTCATTGGCTCGAATTAATCAGCTGTTAAACATCATTTGACCCGTCCGGGTTGATGATTTATAAATTTAACCAATAATAATTATTATTATATCAATTAACCGAAATGAATGAACCTTCGACACTCTCTCGTTTCCTCTTAGTTGACCTATGAAATATTTGAGAAATAATAATTATTATTTTATCAATTAACCGTAATAAATGAACCTTCGACACTCTCTCGTTTCCTCTTAGTTGATCTATGAATTATTTGTAAAATAGTAATAATTATTTTATCAATTAACTGAAATACATGGGCTATCAATACTTTTTTTTTTCTCCTGAGCCAACCTGTGACTTATTTTGATAATAATAATTATTATTTTATCCATTAGCCGGAATAAATCAGCTGTTAAATTATGATTTTAGAATCCTTGTCCGAGATGATAATTTATTGATTTTATCTAATAATAATGGATATTTTATTAATTAACCGAAATAAATAAACCTCCAACACTCTCTCGTTTCCTTTTTGTTGACCTATGAATTATTTTTTAAATAATAATTATTATTTTATCATTTAACCGAAATTAATGGGCTATCGATACTCTCTCGCTTCTCTTGAGTCAACTTGTGACTTATTTTGATAATAATAATTGTTTTATCCATTAGCTGGAATTAATCAGCTGTTAAACATCTTTTGATCCGTTCGAGAAGATAATTTATTTATTTATCTAATAATAATGGATATTTTATTAATTAACCGAAATATATAAACCTCCGACACTCTTTCGTTTCCTTTTAGTTGACCTATAAATTATTTTTTAAATAATAATTATTGTTTTATCAATTCACCGAAATAAATGGGCTATCGATACTCTCTCGCTTTACTTGAGTCAACCTGTGACTTATTTTGATAATAATAATTATTATTTTATCCATTAGCTGGAATTAATCAGCTGTTAAACATCATTTGACCCTTCCGAGTTGATGATTTATTAATTTAACCAATAATAATAATTATTTCATCAATTAACCGAAATAAATGAACCTTCGACACTCTCTCGTTTCTTCTTAGTTGTCCTATGAATTATTTTAGGAATAATAATTATTATTTTATCAATTAACCGAAATAAATGGGCTATCGATTCTCTCTCTTTTTTCTTGAGTCAACCTGTGACTTATTTTGATAATAATAATTATCATTTTATCCATTAGCTCGAATTAATCAGCTGTTAAACATCATTTGACTTATCCGAGTTGATGATTTACTAATTTCACCAATAATAATTATTATTTTATCAATTAACCGAAATAAATGAACCTTCGACACTCTCTCGTTCCCTCTTAGTTGACCTATGAATTATTTTGAAAATAATAATTATTATTTTATCAATTAACCAAATACATGGGCTATCGATACTCTCGCGCTTCTCTTGAGTCAACCTGTGACTTATTTTGATAATAATAATTATTATTTTATCCATTAGCTGGAATTAATCCGCTGTTAAACATCTTTTGACCCGTCCGAGTTGATGATTTATTAATTTAACTAATAATAATTATTATTTTATTAATTAACCGAAATAAATGGGCTATCGGTTCTCTCTCGTTTCTCTTGAGTCAACCTGTGACTTATTTTGATAACAATAATTATTATTTTATTAATTAACCAAAATAAATCAGCTGTTGACCATCACGTTATCGAACTGCGTTAATAATTGTTTAATTTTACCAATAATGATCGTGATTTGATTAATTTACTCAAAGAAATCGGACGCTCAGTACATTATTCCTAACCATTAATTTTTTATTTCAAATTATTTGTTATTAACAAAATAAAATTACAATTCATCGACGGCTGCCTATTTCTAGTGCTTAACCTTCGCTCCTAATTTTTTTAATCGATAATTACCTTAATTTCTGTAGATAGAAATAACGATTCTGTCTCTTACTAACTCTTGCTAATCACTCCAGTATTCAAAACAAAAAATTAAACTTTTACTCATTTTCTAATTAATAATTATTTTTATTACTCTAATAAAAAATAATCTATTGTCGTCCAGATCCTTTTACTAACCCTCGTTACTGATTTTTCAATTAATAATTATTTTAATTACTGTTAGAAATAACGCCTATATTTAGTTCCCTGATTAGCCGCCTTTGAGCGCGCTCAGCGTCTTACTGAGAGCCCCCGACTTCTTGGTCGGGGCACGCTGGTTTATTCTGGAGATTACTTTTGTACGAAGCACCTCGCTTACTTTTTCTCTATAATTATTAATAAATAAGTATTCTTTAAATATAAATACTTGCGTATTATTTATCGATCTAAACCCTAGCCTTCCATCAGGTTATGGTAACAGCAAGATTTCACTGCGCAAATTAAATATTATCCATAAAAATTGTGAAAAGTGAATTGTAGTGAACCTGGCAAATTGTGAAGGAGTCGAAGTCCTACGACGATGTCGGACGTGGATAAGGAGAGCGACTTGAGCTTGACACGCAAGTATCTTTTATTTGATGTTAAGAATATGAACAATGACTAAACGAGTGAAAAATTAAAAATTAAAAAAAACGAGGGTTAGATGACAGGAAAAATTAAGTGCTATAAAATATTTATTAAATTGATGGTCATTGTTCGTTTCTTGAAATATAAGCATATAAAAACGAGAGTAATATTCTAAGTAGACTAGTCGAAATAAATAAAAAAAATGGCGTGACTGTGTAGCGTGATGTCGTTTTGGCGGGAGACCGAGAGTCCGAGTTCACAAACGAGTGATGACTGCAGAGAGACAAAGACAGACGACGTGTACTAGTGCGAGTGAGACAGAGAATGGTCTCTTTGTTGATCGAAGCAAGTCGAGTGTTATTTTGATTTCTGAAAAAGGGTTGGCCAACCAAATACATTTTCACACTTAAATAAAATAAAAATAAAACGAATTGAGGAACAAAGGATCTCGTCTCGCCTGAACGGCATCTACGCTGTACTTAAAATAAAATAAACAAATGACGATGTGTTTAATTTTTTTTTATTAATTAATTTTTTTTTTTATATTATTTTACACAGTACCAGAAAATGACCATATGAACGAAATGTATGGAAACCTGGTATTCGAGTGCGTCGTAGCTAAACTTCAGAGTGTGTTTAAGCTCGATGAAAATCATCCCAATGAATCAGTGGATGTTAAAATTCAAGGAAACAATGTTATCCTTAAAACTCAATCGGAGGTTGAGTACAAAGCAGGTGGGTGCGCACCCTAATTTCTTTTGTTTATCTGTTGCTATTAAGCAGAAATAGATACACCTGCTTAAAATAGTCTCGAGACAGTACTGATTTTTAAAAGAAATCAGAAAAGACCTATAATATTTCCTTTAATTAAAATTAAAGAAATAATATTTCGTTGAATCACCTGTATTTTGGTCAGTGCCGTGCACGGGCCTATTGTGCAGGGGATCAGGGTTTGGATGTATGATATCTTGTGTTCGGATACATACATGCAGACTCGTCTCAATTCGGTGATGCTTGTGTTCAGCAAACCGGGTTAGAGGCACAGTCCATGGCGTGAGTGAATATTGAAAAATTGATAATCTTTCAATTTATTTCAGATAAATCATTTCTAACCATTGACGAGTGGAATGCCCTAGTCGAGTGGGTGGGCAACTGGAAGGGTGAAACACCAGTGATGCCTCGGATTTTAAATCAACGAATTTCTGAGGAGATTGACGAGAACGAACTGCTGGGAGGTGACGATGAGATTAAGACGAATGCTAAAGATGATGATACGACGAGTGATAATGAGGAGTGTGAAACGAAACGAGTGATAACGACCCATGCAGTAATTGAAACAACAGGTAAAGGTCTACCTAAAATAACTGATATAAAACCGGTTCAGTTATCGATGGATAAGTTTAAACGAGTCAATCCTCCTAACAAAACCCCTGAGAAAACTGAATCTGACATTCCTAATTTAGATAATTCTAAGGCTGTTCAGACAGAAGAAACTCTGGCAAACGATGGGAGAGGAGACTGGAAGCCAAGCTTTCAAGCTATGAGTAGAATGCTGCAACAGCATACTAAATTGCTCACAACCGCTGTAAACACTATTAAAGGGTTGGAACGAGTGCAGAAGGAGTTTGCGAACGCAAAGAACGAGCAATATTTGGTCCAGGACCAAATAAACGAGAGAATGAGTGAAATAGAAAGAAACATGGAGCAAATAAAAGAGTGTATGCAGGCTCAGGTAAAGACTAACGAGTGTAATTTAAATGCTGATTTAGAAAAACGAGTAACCTATTTAGTACAACGAGAACTTAGTGGCCATATAAACATTAATGAAAAACGAGAAGACGGTGGGAAAAATAAAATTGTAGATGACGTGAAAGAAGCAATTAAATTAGAAGTAATTACCAGAGACTCGGGTGCACGACGTGACTATAAATTAACAGCTCAAACTAAATTCGAACATTTTTATGATTATCTCTCCTCGGAGTTACGAACGAACAAATTATTGTATGTAATAGATACGAGTGTAAAACCAAGTGGAGTGTTTGATAAAGCAACAACGGACAAACACAAATTCAAAGTACGGGATATTTTGATCAACAGAATTGATCAAAACTATCATTCTAGAATAGTTCATCTCAAATGTCCGGTAGAAATACTAAATAAGATTAAAGAGCTAAAAAGATGTGAAACGAATTTAACGACAGTAATGATCAGAAAACAGTTGTATAGTCTTCAATATACACCTGACAAAGAAACGTCATCGGATTTTTGCGAAAGATTCGAAGAGATTATTCGTAACTATGGAAATGTCACGGGCGCGACTGCTCTTTCTGATGAGGAGATACGTGACACTTTCTATAATGCAATTATGGCCACGGTTCCGGAAGTACAATCAATAGAATTCGTTTCTAAAAATGCTACAGGCAAAGGTCTAGATTATGAAAGTTTAAAAATGTTTCTGATACAGGCTGAAGCAAATAAGAAGCAGATAAGGAGTGTCGATACGAGAGCAGCTTTAATGGCCAAAAAGGACTCGAAAGTTAGGTGTTTCGAATGCGGAGACTATGGTCATCACAGCTATGAGTGTCCCCGGAAAGGTTCGGGATTGCAAAAATACTACGAGTGTAACCAGTTCACTACGCACAAAGCCAAAGATTGTCCCGAACGACTGGAACGACAAAAACGAAATGCATCACGAGGCAATGGGAAAACGAGTGGAATGAACAGGTATGGTTATTTTAAGAATTCACGTGGCTTTAAACAGGCCAATGACAGACGACAGTATCTCAAAAGGAAAAATAGTGACAATTCAGGAAACAGTGAATCAAAGAAACCAAGAGTTGGGGCACACAGAGGGCGTGGTGGATTTAAAAATTCCAACCAACATAGACAGAACAAAAACGAAAAAGCCAAAGGAACGGAGTCAGCAAAGGGTGAGTTATTTTTATTTGATGCTAGATTTAATCCAGGAATTTGCCATACACACACTGTAAATGAAGATCAGGTTCGAATGAAAAGATTAGGTGACGAGCGAGAGAATGAAAACGATCAAGGAAAACTAGTTGCTAAATTTTTGGCAGACTCAGGTGCAACAGAGCACCTTACTAATTCCAAAATTGTTTTCAAAACCCTTGACGAAAGAAATTACGGAACAATAAAATGCGCAAATAATGACCCCTCAGCAGACTTGAAAACGGACGGGTCAGGGGAAATAGAAATAGTTTTAGAAAACAACCAAATTTTGAAAATCGAAAATGTAATTTGTGCTAGGGCTCTTTCAGATAATTTATTGTCATTGAGGAAATTTGCCGAGATGGGTTTAAGCATTTATTTAGATAAAGAGAAAATAGATATTTTTGATCCGATTTCTAACAAGTCTTTCATTACGGGTGTTTACAGTAAACCATATTGGATCATTGAGCTTGTAATTAACAAAAATAAATCTAATAATTGTAAAAATGAGTCTAGAACTTTTAATAAATACATTGTAGCAAATATGACTAAAAATAGCAAGACAAATGTTAATAGAGTGGGCTATATATCTCGGGAGATTTCTTCAAAAGACAGAATGACAGTGAATGACAGTATTATCTCAAGATTAAATTCAGACACAGGAAATTTTGATGACGGGTGTTTTAACGAAAAGAAAACGAGTGAAGAAACGACTGATAGCATTGAACAAACAAAACCGAGTGAAAACGAAGTGGAGACCGAGAGTAAAGTCAAAATGACTGACAACAACAGACTGATTGAAAAGGAGGAAATTAGTGAAGATAATGTTCAAAATATTAAAACAGGGAAGAAATTACTTTACGAAAACTCAAACTTTGACACAACTATTTGGGACCGAAAATTTCATGATGTTAACGAGTTGCCTATAACTGAAATTACAGATGTTGATTCGTCACTTAACGACAGTAATAACGAGAGAAAGTCTAATAGCAAAGCACTACTTTGGCATGTCAGATTCGGGCACGCCTCGGTAAACTATCTTAAAGCGCTGCAAAAGAAATTTCCTGAAAACGATGAACTTCGAAAAACGGTTTTTGACGATTCGATCTTAGATTGCGAGGTTTGTAGGATCGCTAAATTTAATAAATTGCCTTTTAACACGACGCGAAAAAGAGCGACGGAACCCTTGCAAGTTATACACTCGGATACAATGGGACCAATAAGTCCATCTACTCATCCAAAGGGATATAGATTCATATCGGTTTTCATAGACGATTTTTCGAGACTTGCAATGGCGTATCCTATGAAAAATAAAAACGACACTGGTTTGTGTTTTGAAGCTTTCGTAAGGAGTGCACGAAACCTATTGGGCCGTGACGCGAAAGTATGCTATCTTCGATCAGATCAAGGTACAGAATTTACGGGTGGTTATACGAGTGAAGTCTTAAACAAACTAGGTGCTGAGTTACAATGTTCAAGCCCTGATACTCCTGAGCACAATGGTGTATCAGAACGCTTTAACCAAACTATCCAAAAGAAAGTCAGGTCATACATGTACGACGCGAAATTGCCAGAGAGTATGTGGGACTTAGCCTTAAACGCAGCAGTTTACGCGTATAATAGAACCCCACATAAATCAAATAATATGATAACGCCGATGAGCAAATTTGCTCCTCATCATAACTTTGACATAAACCAACTGAAACGCTTTGGTTGCGTGGCGTACATTAAAGTACAACGGAAAACGGGACCAAAATTCAGAGCTGAAGGACGACGTGTTATTCTTGTAGGTTATACGCCTACAGGATACCAATTCTTAAAACCAGAGGAAGGTAAATATTATGAAAGTCGCGATGTAAGATTTAACGAAAAACTGGTTTACGGTGATAAATGGAAACGATCTGATATAAAAGACTGGCCGGTTGAAGAAAGTAAAATTGACAAAGAAAAATGGTTCGTAGAATTCCCAGATAACAAAAACGAGTGTGAAGAATCATTAAAAACGGAGGGAGAAATTCCTATTAAAAGAAAGAGAGGACGACCGCGTAAACATCCGGTATGTAATCAAAAGAACGAAACGAGTGACGGCACGACGAGTGAAGATACGAAAACGAGCACTTTACAGACTAACGACAGTGAATGCGAAAGCAAAATATTATTTAAACGAAAAATAGAAAGTAACAACACGTTTAAATTCAAAGCTAGACTAGTTATTCGAGGTTTCAAAGACAGAAATGTCTACGAATTAAAAGAAACATATGCACCGGTATCTCGATTGCCATTGGTGCGTGCGGTATTAGCAATAATAAATAAGTACGATTTGACAGTATACCAGTTAGATGTTAAGACAGCGTTTCTTAACGGAACGATTGACGAAGAGATCTTTATGGAGATTCCCGAAGGAACTCATAAGCGCCGACGAGAGAAAAAAATAAAGTTTGTAAACTTAAGCGAGCGTTGTACGGTCTAAAAATAAGTCCTAAGCGTTGGAACAAAAAATTCACAGAGGTTGCTCTAAATATTGGTTTGAAAAATTGTAACGATGAGCCGTGTTTATTTACTTGGCGTAACGATGAGAAATTTCTGATTTTATTGTTATACGTAGATGATATATTAATTGCATGTAACGACGAGTACAAGCTGAACGATGTGAAAAACAAATTAATGAGTGAATTTAAAATGACTGACTTAGGAGAACAAAAAGAATTCTTAGGGATTTCAATTACGAGAGACAAAGAAAAGAAGATATTGAATCTTAGCCAAAAACGATATATTGAGAAAATAATTAACAAATTTGATTTCAGTGAATCTCATCCTCAAAGAACTCCTATGGTAACTACTCAGGTTGCAAATAGAGAAAGGAAACTCAGAGAAGAAGAGTGATATTTCATATGCAGTGAATGTCTTGAGCAGACATCAGCTGAATCCTACTGAAAACGACTGGAAAATGGTAAAACGAGTGTTTAGATATCTAAAAGGTACTGTAAACTTAAAGTTGACGTATTTAGCAAAACAAGATAATTTGCAAGCTTTTTCAGATGCTAGTTTTGCAGACTGTAAAGGTTCTCTAACGACGTGTGGATTCTTAATCCAACTGTTTGGTGACACTATAGCTTGGAGGTCACATAAGCAAAATTATGTTGCCTTGTCAACTTGCCAAGCTGAATACGTAGCAATGAGTGAAGCGAGTCAGGAGTTGGTAGCCATGAGCAACTCTCTTAAAATTATTTTGAATAAATCATTTTATCCTATGCAGCTCTGGTGCGATAACAAGGCTGCAGAAGCAAGTGCGCAAACGAGTGGTGGTAACAAACTGAGACATATGACAGAGGTAAGAGAGCACTATGTTAAAGAGTGTGTTGAACGTGGTATGGTAAAAATTAAATGGATTGCATCTAAGCATCAGGTAGCTGACTTGTTCACAAAACCTCTACCTTTTGAACTGCACAAACGACTGACAGAAACGATAACGAATGAGACGACTGATAGAGATAATAAGGAGTGAAATTATTAATAACAAATTTATAATTAAACATTGTCAAATTACAGGTGATAAATCAGACCAGCAGGGTTGATACGAGTGCCTTACACGAACGAGGGACATGAGGACAGAACGAACTGAAAAACCAAAATAAAAATAATATCCAGTATTAAAGAAATCAAAGAGTGATATAATGTTTCTTACTATGTCAAGTTTCTTTATAATATGATATAAAACTATGTAATACTAATTATAATTTTAAAAATAAGATAAGTAAACTAAATATAGACGGGAGGGAGTGTTAGAAATAACGCCTATATTTAGTTCCCTGATTAGCCGCCTTTGAGCGCGCTCAGCGTCTTACTGAGAGCCCCCGACTTCTTGGTCGGGGCACGCTGGTTTATTCTGGAGATTACTTTTGTACGAAGCACCTCGCTTACTTTTTCTCTATAATTATTAATAAATAAGTATTCTTTAAATATCAATACTTGCGTATTATTTATCGATCTAAACCCTAGCCTTCCATCAATTACTTCAATTAAAAATAAAAAATCAACTACAGACGTCTAGAGCTTTTTAGTGACCCTTGTCACCGGTTTTTTTTATTCGAAGTTATTCTTATTATTCTAATAAAAAATAAAATTCAGTCTTAGGTGCCCAGAGCTTCTTACTAATTCTCACTACTGATTTTTTAATCAATAATTATTTGTATTATTCTAATTAAAAATAAAAAATCAGCTACAGACGTGCAGAGCCTCTAACTGACTCTCGCTACTGATTTTTTAATTAATCATTATTTTCATTAAAAATAAAAATTCAATCACAGCCGCCAAAAGCCTGTTACTATCCCTTACAACTGATTTTTTAAATAATAATTATTTTGATTATTCCAATTAAAAATTAAAAATCAGCTACAGACGTTCAGATTCTCTTACTGACCCTCGCTACTGATTTTTTAATGGATAATTACTTCAATAATTAAAAAAAAAGAAAAAAATTTCTGGAACTGCGGCCTAGTTTCTCTGCTTGAGCCTTGCTATTAATTTTTTTAAATAAAAATCTCTCTAATAATTCCCAACAAGATCTACTGTTTTCGCCGTTTTAATTAACAAAATTTTGTGCCTGTAACAAATTAATAAAAACATCCTTACTTACATTCATACGCGCATTGTTACTGACACACTAACGCTTGCATACACTAGTGTACAGTCTCCCACATTAATCTAGCATCACGTACGTCCGCCGTCTACGGTCGGTCCGTCCCCACTCTCGGTGTACTGCGTGCGAAGCCGGCAGCATCTCTAGCGTCTAACTCTCGCATTACCCACTGCCTTCTCACTCAATTTTTATTCTTCTCTAGCTTCTGATTGGTCACTTTCATTAATTAATAATTAATTATCTATGCGTCTGATTAAAAAATGGCTGAGGACTTTTCGTCTCAGAATAATTTCCTCTTTAGATCCCTACAAGGAAGTGCGTGACTTCTGGGACACCCTGTATATATTTATTATATGGCTATCTATTAATGTTCTGTTATTACCTAAATACTAAGATTTATATACTACTGTAACACGAACAAAACTTTTCCATTGTATTATTATATAATTCTTATCTTATACTAGATGCTATCAATTATAACTATGTTATTTGGCTACATGCGCCACTTAGAATTACACATTGTAACTTTTTGTAACCTTACAATTGGCCCTGCGGGGCTGTTAGGTTTATATCAATAAAGAAATAATAATAATAATAATAATAATAATAATAATAATAATAATAATAATAATAATAATAATAATAATAATAATGCAGTGCTTGCTACGTGGCCTCCAAGCGGCGCATCGCGGGAAACGCAGACCATAACACCAGATCTGTAAGCGAACGACGTAGCCGATGCAGTGGGCCAACTACCCACTGCATTGAAATGCTGAGTTACAACAAGACGTAATCTCAGAAGTGCTCCCCACAACCGGTCCTTTTCGGATGAGGACCATTCATCAGGTGGGAGGAGCACGCCGGACCCGATGAACGTTGACGACCCTGGCGCTTTAAGGACTAATTTTAAGTCACACACACACACACACACACACACACACACATACAGACGTACGGACATCATCGTAAAAATAGTCAGGGAAGCTTTCTGTGACCTTCAAACGTCGAGATCTGATGAAAACTCGATTTTTGTAAAACGGGGTGAAAACAATAACTTCCCGATTTTTGAAAATCTGAGATTTTTAGCGGGAAGTTAAAAATAGTCGGTTTTTTTTGCGCCACCCTAATAATTATATATACTTATATATAATTAGATATGGGACTTTGTATAATCTTGCATGGCTGTATATTGCTCCATATATAGTCATATATAATTATATATGATTATTTAAGACCTCATGTACAGTTCCATATATAATCATGTATGATTATATATAATCTTACATGGCTGTGTGTTGCTCCATATATAGTTATGTATAATTATATATGATTATATATAACCTCATATACAATTCCATATATAATCATGTATGATTATATATAATCATATATACTTATATATAATTATATATGGAACAACATATAATTCTGTATGGCTGTATATTGCTGCATATATAGTCATATATAATTATATATGATTATATATAACCTCATATACAATTCCATATATAATCAGTATAGCGGGTAGGAGTCAAGCAAAATAACCAAACAAAATACGCTCCCGTGGACAAAACTCCCCTTTAATGGGTTGGTCACACTAACTGACCTAACAAGACGAGGGTAGCGTTGTTCGCGTCCGTAGGTACTGCTTTAACACCCTACACGTGCTCTCCGGGTAGTGCTAAATGAACAACACCAACAACAATATGGAAATGTCAGAAAACATTGAAACATTGTCTACAGTACAGTGGAGGGATACCTCAGTGACGGCGAGGGAAGGCGTGCAAACGGGCCTGAACTCGTCGTTATCAAGCGACCGTTACGACAGCAGGGTGGACCCCATGGCCCTGCTGTCTGGAAATACTACAGGGAGTACGCAAACAGCCCAGATGGAGGAGAACGGACAGCTGAGCAACGTTCCTTTAAAAAGTGGAGGACCTTTTGCTCCTGTCACTGATCAGGAAACAAACAAGAGAGAAAACGGGCCTCATCCCCAGCAAGACGCACTGCTACTTAGTGCAAAGATGAAGAGGTCAGATGCGCTGGCACATCTGGAGAAGCTAGTCAGTGGACTGCAGGACTTTCTCCAAACCAAGCAAAATGTCCACAAGGAGATCAAGTCGAAGTCGACGAACATCTGCAGTGCCCTGAGACAGTTCAAAAAACTGGATCAAGATTGGCAGGGGATCCAACAATAACACGGTAATATCGGGATGACGACGAGTAAGACAGCGGTTTCACCTGCAAAAGCTGACACGTTTGCCGAGGAGATGGACACCGGAGTCGAAGGTGACGGTGAATCAGTCACCGAAGACAAGGGTGATACTGACTCAAGGCCTGGAAAGAGAAAAGACCGAAACTCGCCAGAGCCAACCGACAAAGTCACTAAGAAGAAGGATCTGAAAAAAAGTCCTCCCCAACAACTGGCAGGACAGGGCGACGAACCCAAGAAGACGACTGACTGGGAAAAAGTACAGTCTAAGAAGGAGAAGAGAAGGCTAGCTAGAGAGCAACTCTCAAAGCAGCCGCCAAAGGAGCCCAGGCCAGAGCCTAAGCGGAAAACACCACGCAAATGGATCAGACCCGACGCACTGATCATCCGCCCGGCCGAGAAAACAAAGTATGCCGAGATTCTGCGTCGCATAAAGCAGGACGTCCCAGATGAGCAGGTTCGTTCAACTGTGGATAAGATCAACAAGACCAGAAGTGGGGACTTGTTGATTACGATTTCGAGGAAGAGCACTGACAAAGGCCAGGGTCTGCAAAAGACGGTCGCGGACATCCTTAAGGAGGAGGCCAAAGTGATTTGCAAAGGGCCACAGGAGACTATCGAGATCCGAGATGTCGATCATGAGACGACGAAAGAGCATATTCAGACCGCTCTAAAGAGGGAAGCTGGAGAAATATGTGAAATCCCACTAGAGGCAATCAAGATCCGTAAAGCCTTTAGGGGTACACAGACAGCCACAGTGTTACTACCAGCAGCTGCAGCACAAAAGTGACTGGAGGGAAACTGCAAAATAAGGATAGGCTGGTCGAATTGCCGAATGAGAGCAACGAAGAGACCCATACAGTGCTTCAAATGCTGGCACTTTGGGCACATCGGATCCCAGTGCAAAAGCGAAGTCCACCGGTCTCAGCACTGCATAAGGTGCGGAAAAGAAGGACACAAAATTGCTGATTGTAAAAATCCAGCTGAATGTGCACTGTGCGTTGAACGGCACGGCGTAGAAAAGGTGACTCACCACGCAGGCTCGAATAGATGCCCCGTCTTCCAAGAAGCGCTCCAGAAGATAACGAAGCCAAGAACATGAAGATATTGCAGCTCAATCTAAATCATTGTGCGGCTGCGCATGACCTGCTCATGCAAACTGTGCGCAAATTAGAGGCAGACGTAGCACTTATAAGTGAGCCTTATAGACACTTGAGTAATCAACCCTAGGAATCCGACAGCACTAACAAAGCCGTCATCTGGTCTTGCGGTAAATGTCCTTGTCAGAGAACAGCCAACAACAAAGAAGCCGGCTTCGTAGCAGCATGGGTAGATGGCCTCCGCTTCTACAGCTGCTATGCACAACCTAGTCTCTCTAATGATCAGTTTGAAGACTTCCGTGATCGGCTAACTGAGGACGCAAGAAAACACTTTCCCGTGGCAATAGCTGGTGACTTCAATTCCTGGGCAGCAGACTGGGGCAGCAAGCTCACTAATACACGTGGAATAGCAAGCTCACTAATACACGTGACACGCCAACGTATACCAAGGGAGAGGCAAGCTCAATTGTCGACCTCACATTTGTCAGCAGTTGCTTAGCCCGAAGAGGTTTTTCTTGGAAAGTATTGAACATCTACACAGCCAGTGACCATAGTGCGATACTGTGGGAAATATCAACTGGCCAGAAATTAACAAGAGACAACAGGAGCGCTAGCGCGGTTGGGTGGAAAGTTAAATCTCTTGACCCCATTGCTT